CCCCAAAACCCCAAAACCCCAAAACCCCAAGAAGGTATAATAACATTATAAATTAATTATAGATGGCAGAGAATAAGATATTAAGGTACCCTTTTTATTTTATTATCTAGAGTTCAAAAGACTTTAAGGGCTAAATACCAGAAATCTGAACAACAGAGGTTAGCCAGGATTACACAAAAAACAGCCTCAACTACTTTGGTTAAGCCTCATGATGAAGTAGAATCATTACCTTCTCCTCAGTATAACGATGGAGAGGAACAAAGAGAAGATATCAGAAGTTCTTTTCTGTTAGAAAATTCTACAGCTAGCTCTCAGTCTAAAAAGAAAAAGAAGTTTACTAGTTTGTTTAGATGATGTTTTGGAGTGAAACAAACATCTGAAGTGAAGCCTTATAATAAAATGAGCTCATTGGATAAGTCTATTAGTGGTGAACTGCCTTCAGCTAACTTGCATATGATCAAGAATAATTCGAATTATCGTAGACTAAGGTCAGAAATAAATCCTCATGGAGGTTTGCGATCTAAGTTAAGTATTCCGACAAAGGAAGAGTACAAAGAGAATACTAAAGCTCAGGGAAATTCTTACTTTGAGAGTAATTTAAGTATGCTGGGCCAGCAACTTAAAGAGAATAAAGGTAGAAAAACCTTAATCCTTTGTTTGGATGAAGTCCTGCTACATTATCGCATTGGAGCAGAGGAATCTGGAGATGGAGATTATGAATTCTGTTTAAACATGAAAGGAAAAGCTAGGATTATAAATGTCTTCAAACGCCCTCACCTTGATGAGTTCTTACAAAAGATGTCTGAAATTTATGAAATAATATTCTTTTCCAATAAACGTGAAGACTTTGCAAACCCTGTGATTAACTTCATTGACTCTAACAAAGTAGCTGCTGGTAGGCTCTATAGAGATTCTTGCATAGTAAAAGAAGGAGTCTTCATTAAAAACATTAAAAAATTAGGAAGGAATATGAGCTCTATTGTAGTACTTGATAATTACTCAGTTTCCTATCTCTATAACATTGAAAATACTGTTCCCATAAAGTCTTGGTACGGAGAAAATATGGAAGACAATGAATTAAAAGATATGTTACCGATACTTCAATCCTTTGCTAAATTGAAAGATGTTAGAACAACTATTGCAAAGATTGCAAAAGAAGTAAGTTTGAATACAGCATAAAATTATTAACCAGTATTTGATTTAGGTGCAGGGAGCTAATTTACCTATCAATATTGATCCAAAATATCAAGGGGAACTTGAAATATTAAACAAAGCAGGGAAAGGTAGAGAGACATATCTTAGAGTCAAATAACACTACTGATTTCAGAATTTTTAAAATTTGCAACTCAAGTTTAAAATTAGTAGATGAAACTTCTATTTCTAATTGCAAGTCTATGAATTTTTTGCCAATTCTAGCCATAAAAATGTATTCTTGCCTTAAAGCTTATTGTTAAACAATGACTTAAAAGATTAGAAAGATATCATAAGAAATAAACCTAACTTATTATATCACCTCACAACTAATATGACAATTTGAAAGAGTAATTAATTCTTAATTAAAAATTAACCTCACTAATCAAAATATAAGAACCTAAAGAATGGAGGTATTCGGAATCAGAGAATTAATTTTTATGTCTAGGTCTTGATAGCCTTGTACAGGAGAACAAAGAAGAGGCATCAAGTGTACAAAGCAAAAGATTCAAGGAAACTCTGAAAAATGCAGCCCTCTTCACTTGTTGTCAAATAACCCACGGAGAGATGCAAAAGTACTCCAATAGGATATTTAAGTAAGTTATATCCTTAATACATAGAACGAAAGGTGATATTGATAAGACTTTGAACCAGAGTTTGATGTCAGAATCTGAAATTGGGTTTTCTCAAAGACAGAGCAAAGCCAAACCTCATCACCAAAAGAACTTTAGCACTCCAAATTATATCGATGGTAGACCTAAAATTTTAGACAAAGACAATATTAAATGCTCTAAAGAGGATATGAAATTTATGTAAGAGTTGGATTAATAGAAAATAGGGAAGTCGAAAGCGAGAATAGTTTCATGAACCAGTTCATCAAATGTAACCACATTTAGTCTTCCAAAATTCAAATTTCATTCATTTTTATTCATGCATCTTTAGAATGTCCACAGACCTAGTACAGTCACGGATTCAGTGGTTCAATCAAGTGAGGCTTGGTCTTAAAACAGTATAGAAGAGTCTTTCAAATCAATTGTCTCTCAAAAAGTAGAAAAAGAGAATGATATCATGAAGAGGATATTTTCTTTTGATATCATATAAGCATTTTTAAGATACGAGCAGATATTGGTAACTTCTTTCTAGGCTACATTGGTAGATTTTAGATAAAAATTAAAATTTACTACTATAATTTTCAATCAAAATTCTTTGGGATGGGGTTTTGGGGTTTTGGGGTTTTGGGG